GACTTCGTGTCTTGGAGCTTAAGAAGTTCTTGCAGGACAGTAACTTCTGTAGAAGAGCCGTACTTATTCCTTTTCACATAAAATTAATCCTGGCCTGTGGCTACCAGGTCGAAAAATGATAAAAATTTAGTACTCTGGACACAATGTCCGGTGAAGAATAGGCTCAGAATAAAATACAATTCGTTCCCGTGTTCGATCATATGTCTTCTTTACCGATAAGAATAAGCTACACGACTGTAGGACAGACTTTACCCAGTAATTGAGACTAATGGATATGTTTCTCATTTCCCTCCTTCCTCTGCCAGTTAAACAACCTGACAAGTCAGAAGAATAGCCTCAGTCAGGAGATGAGCCACCAGCAACGCGAAACTGATCGTCTGCGTGACTCCTTGGCTCGGATGACGCGAGAAAATGCTGAGGTGGTGCGAGAAAAGGGTGATCTGCAGGCGCAGGTTGTCACCACGGAACGCTCTCTGCGCCAACAGGCCGACTATATTGCTGCGCTGGGTCAGGATAAAACCCAGATCGAACGTGAGCTGCAGGAGTGTCGCCAGGAGCTCAGTGCCCACCGACAGCGACAGGAGACCCTGGACTACGAGTTGACCGAGAAGGAGAGAAAGTTAAAGGCATTTACCAGTGAGTGCTGGACGTTATTTGCTGAGAATAATGGTTGTTTTATTTGATTCAAATGTGAAGAAACTCGCGGCGTCGGCGGGAGTCGAACATGCACAGCAGGGAAGGCCTTTATGCAGCCAACGCTCTACCGATTTGAGCTACGACGCCACACCGTGCGCCCTGAATTTAATCACCCTCTAACAATTATGGTTGTGCTTTTAATCCTCATAGCGATTCTCGTGGGAGAACTGCCTGTTGGCTAGTGCAGCGTCATACCATTAGGAGTGTTAGCATCATTTATGACGGTAAAAGTTGCAAGAAAGGGATCATTATTTGGAGCAAAAATAACTGCCAGATGGTGCTAATCGTGGGAAAGGCAGTGAAGGTTGAGAGCTCTGCAACGGCTTCATTAAGAAACTTGATGGATACTACTTTTAACTAACTACACAACTCACGCTGTTATTATGTGCCCCCCTTGTGAGCTCAAGAGGAGGTGCTACAGGGTGAGGCCAAATTCCCTATTGTACTGAGGCACAGTGTCTTGTTATTTGTGTGTTCATATTCCACCAAAGTTCTGGTGAAGTTCTGGTGTACTGGTGGTCTAACTCATGAAATCCAAAGATTTCTACAGGTAACTCCTTATTACTAAAATGTAGCCCAAGCTGCGGCCCCCAAAGTCTTAGAACAATAAAGTAATAATTGCTTCGTATTCTTGACTTCACTGACTCTGTATCCCACAGTCACGCGCACGTCAAACTCAATGATAACAGGGTGGTACGATATTATTAAGCAAAAATAGTAAAGGATAAGCAGTGTACAAACCTCAACAATGGATACACAACGTCAAGAGTGAAGAGAATTGGCCAAATCGCCTGACTCTATACAGGCGAACAACACAACTTCAATAACAAGGCCATGCAGGGCGAAATCTTGTGTGTGTGTTAGTAGGAGAAGGGGGGGCTCTGCTTTTATATGATTTTACGAGACAATTCATGTAGCATCAGGATTGGTGTGAAACACCAGCGCAAAAGGGGGGAGGGTTCGTGAACAGAGGCAATATGAAAGTATCAGCGGCGGGGGGGCTAATCGTAGGAAAAGCAGTGAAGAAAATGAATGATTACCATTTTAAACCGACTATACAAGTCACGCTGCTATTATGTGTCGCAGGATAGTGTGGCTCCTAAGTTAACTTAAGGAGAGGTGCTATAGGGTGAGACCCAAATTCCCTATTGTACTGAGGCAACGTCTGTTCATCTTACACCGATCTTCTGGTGAAGATTAGTGTGCTTGCTTCATAAGAAGGTGGTCTAACTCATGAAATCCATGGATTTTTACAAGTAAGCCCCTGTTACTGAAACGTAGCCCAAGCTGCGGTCCCCAAAGTCTTAGAGTAATAAAGTAATATTCGTTCATTATAATAGGGCATATTGCGATTTATCACGGAGTATCACGTTTTTTAGAAATACCAGCTTTTTTTAGCAAAAGGGAAAATTCCGAAAAAAATTGGAAATCGGGCGTACTATGTACGCTCAAGTTTTAAATCTAGAGGAAGCCTGTTCATGCAAAAAGACCGAATGAATAAAGCAGCACAAGTATAATGACATTGGAAAATACTGTTTTTGTAAAAACATTTCGGATACATAGGCTTCCATATTACGTGCAATGTAATGTGCGGTGATTACCCAACAGCCCAAATTTCGAGTATGTATTCCAGCACGGATATATTTTCCGCCGAGAATGAAAGAACCAACTATTCTATGTTTACCAGAGCAGGTTTCAGTATGTTTATTTACTTGTAGGCTCAGTTCGAAGATAACAAATACGGAGCAGAGTGGCAGAATATTAAACACGATTTTGAAAAAACTAATAATATTCTGTCCGTTCCGTTTCAAGTTTTTCTATTTATTCATTCTGCTCAATAGATAGAAAATGTTACCACATCTTTTATACACGGTTTGGCAGAGAAAATTGACGGCACGTTTCAGGTGTTTATATATATCCTTGTTTACGGTCGTTATATTCGGTTGGTTAACACAAATTACCACCTCATAAGTTTATTACTCAATTTTATGGCACAAAACTTGACAGATTTGTAGATGGACTCCTGCAAGAGTTCGAAAGCTCAGGACAATAAGTCTATTGATCCGGTGCTCGACAAGTCTTCTTCCTTATCCATGCAGATACCTGGAACGCGAACCTTTTCATTTATTCGAGATTGCACGGTATTTATAGTTCATAGTGGTCATCCACGTGCGTATTGTAATTATCCACTCCTGTAGCCACCGCTTTTGTTTTAATTAGTGCGGTGATGGCTTGACACTTCGCATTCGACTCATTAATGGTCGTGATTTCCTTGTCCGTGTTGGATGCGGGCTTGGTAATTGCGCGAAAATTATGCTCGCCGTCGTCAGAGTTGCTGTTGGGCCCGGCCCTTCCCACGTGACTGATTCTCTTGCTCGTGCAATGTCTCAGTACACAGTAGGGAAGCGCCAAATCGTTCTGCTTGTTGATGAAATGGGGGATTGCGGCCCACACGGT